CGATTCTTGTGTTCTGCATTAAACTATTTATAGTTTAAGGGCCTGGTTAGAAATGATGCCTTAGACTAGGAATAGCTAAGAGCTTGTTATAAAATGAATTGGCCTTAGATTAAGAATAATTTAAGAGCATGGTTGAGATATTGAATATCAAATGACTTGGAATAAAATATTGAGAATATCATGAATGTTTGAATCATATAATGTGTGCATGATATCAAATGGTTGATTATGAATTGAGATTCAATTTATTTGGATGTTCGACGCTTTTGATATGCTTACTCAGCTTCATCGCTGAGCGTGTAGTATGTTTTATTTGCTACACGCGGGTAGACATAATGAGTGAATGGCATGTTCTTGGCAGCGGAAGGGGCGAGACAGTCGTGGTGGATTTATTGAGAAAATAAATGATTATGTTATTATGAATCCTGTTTAAAAATCGCTTCCGCATTAAACACTCCGTATTTACTACAATTATGTTTGAAATTTCATTTATGATGAATAAAGTTATTTGAAATGTTTTAAATTATACGATTACCAAGTTAATACTTTAGTTCGGAAAGGGTTGTAAACCTGGACGAATTAGGGTGTTACATCCATTTTTTTGGGCTGTTACTTTTTGTAAATGGTAGCCACATTAGCAGATTAGTTTTTGCTTTTTGTAACTAGACACAATCTGCTGTATATGTAAGTTAAATGCAACATATGGTTTTCATAGGCCCTTTCCCACACCATCATTATACATTCTTGCACTCACATCAAGGTAACTACACACAATCTGCTCTAGATGTAACTTAAATGCAACAAATGATTCTCATCAACCCTTTCCCACATCATCATTGCTGATTTGGTACTCTGAGTCATTCACATACTTAAAAAATGCTCATCACAGTACTAGTGTTTCTCAACCAATGCAAGCAGCAGTCCTCACAGAATGTGACCAGAGAGGCATGATACACCTAAACTAGTTAAGTGTATGCAATGGTGGTACTCAGAGGCATTTTATGATTTCAAAAAGCTCATCATGGTACTCTATTCTTCTCAGACAGATGCAAATACCAGTCATCATAGGATACATCCAGACACACAAGCTTAACATTCAAAGTTTCAGGAAGGCATCACAGTTATTCAAAGTACACACTTAGCATATTTAAAAAAACATGCTCATCACAGTTTAGACTTAATCATCATTGAATCTGGGCAATTAAGATCATGGAGGCAACAATGTATAACATGCACATAGTCTTCTTAACATAATCAAAGGCTTAAATTTCAAGGCATAAATAAACCAGAAAGATTTGTAAGAAAAGGAAAGTAACTTCCCTACTTGTATGTTGAGGCCCAAAAGTTTGGATCTGAACTGGGCATTAATATATTCAAGATGTCTAAGTGGAGGTGCATGCTTGATTTCATCAATGACAAAGTCGGTTTCTCAAGAATTTCACTGCCAGATTCATCGCTGGCAAAAAAAATTACAGAATCCTCCTCATCAACAAGGTCGATTACCACCTTCTTCTCTCTGACCGGGGCAACATCGGCATCGTCGTCGCTGTGGATGATGATCACCTCGTCCTCCTCCTTGTCGTCAGAGATTGATGTTTCATAAATCACATAGGAATCCTCACATCCACCTTCTTCAAGATCCGTCTCATAAACAATGGAATCGTAGAGATAGTCATGCGATTCCATGAAATGGGGCGCAGATCTACAAAATTTGGGGAGGAAGATGGTAATCTAGGGTTGGGAAGATAGAAGATAGAGCGAGAAATAGATGCGACCAGAATCAAAAAGCGAGAGTGAATGCGAAGGGTTGGGAGGGGGTGGGTAGATAGGATTGGTTATGGTAGGTGTTAGGATATTAAATGAGAGGGGTATTTTAGGGAGATTTGTTATTTAAAAGTAGACTGGGAACATCATTCCCGGACGAAAAAAACGTAGACTGGGAACATCATTCCCGGACGGAGGGAGTATGTTATACAAGTACAAAGTATATTTTTCAAAAATGTATCTCCCTCAAAGAAATAATAGTTTTGAAATGCACCAAGTCACATTACATTCAAAGTGTTAAACTATAAACTTTCCTCACAAAAAAAGTTAAACTATAAACCAATATGGTCAAAATTTATAACTAAGTTATAAAATTCATGGTCAAAATTTATAACTAAGTTATAATTTTTTTTGAAATGAGAAGAATACTACACCGTATAAAATGTAAATGGAGTATGATTTAGGAATATTCTGTAGATGAATAAAAAACTTATCTGTATGACTCATTTAAGCGGAATATTTTAAACTTATTTTGAGACGGTTCTCATGACATTACTCAATGACATTCTGATGGTTCGTTCGTAAAATTGACGATTCTTATCCTCGGTAAACCCCCACCCCATCCTACCCGAACACACCCCACGGCCCCACCCTACTTATTTTTAAAATCGGCCCGGTTCCAGTGCCACTGGAATCCGGTGCCACTAGCGGTGCCACCAGCATTTTGGGGCACCTCCGGTGCTCCGTTCGCAAAATTGACGATTCCTACCCCCCTAATCCACCCTCTAAACCCTCCACCCTACCCCTGCCCCTGCATCCCCATTCCAACCCCGCCGTAAGCCCCCCACATTACTTGATGACATTGTGATGGTTCGTTCGTAAAATTGACAATTCTTATCCTCGGTAAACCCCCACAGCCCCATACTTATTTTTAAAATTTGATTTTTTAGAGAGCCCTGTAATCCACATCCAACCCGGACAAAAGCAGTATATTTATTTACGCCGTATTTAGTTTTGTTTATATCCAGTGGTTTTCTTATTTTCGGATCCAAAGTTTTGTTTCAGAATTCCAGGTAAACACAGTCGAGGAAGCGAAGCAGGTTATACATATTCCGGCGACACTTTCCGATCAGATCTGATCGTCTTCTCTTCTCTCGGCTGCTCGGAACCTACCGAAGGTACGACTTCCTATTATCTTTCAACGAAGAACACATGTATTAACCTTGTTGCTGCTCCTGCTCGTGGATCGTTAATTTTCTGATGATTTGAATCCCTGACGAGTTCGAAAATTGAACCGAGTTCGGATTTATGATATATCTGATTAGTTCCTGTCATGGATCTCATCCCGGTTCACTTTGATTTTGGATCTGTAGGACTGGGAGTTTGATGGAGGGCGTTGGAGGCAGTGCTGCTGCCGCCATGAACCAGCAGCGGCATGAATTTTCGAAGATTTTTCAGTATTATTTGGACAAGAGCACGCCGCATGCCATGTATAGATGGATTGGGACTTTTGCTTTAGCATCTCTCTACGCTTTGAGGGCGTATTATGTCCAAGGGTTCTACATTGTGAGCTATGGTTTGGGAATCTACCTTTTGAATTTGCTGATTGGTTTTCTGTCACCTCTCGTTGATCCAGAGCTCGACCCTTCGGATGGTCCTATGCTCCCCACTAAAGGTTCAGATGAGTTCAAACCTTTCATTCGCCGCCTCCCGGAATTCAAGTTCTGGTATTCTTCTCCCTTACTTTTAGTTCTAGGCCTCTATCTGCAAGCCTGCAACTGATTTCTTTTACTTTTTTTGTTATAATGACTTTGGGATAACAAATTAACAGTCTTAATTTTGTAGAGCCCTTGTAGGTATTGTTTTTTACTACTCACACTACACAGTCACTGATTTTTTGTAGCCCTTTTTGAGAGTCTCTTTATTTCATTGGGTAGATAATAGATTTAAAGTTTGTGTACATCTTGCTTCCTAAACCTGGGAAAATCATACTCTTGTGTGGTATTTACGGTGTTTATTTGGTTTGATTTGATAATAATCTATGCTGAAGCAATCAAACAAGCCCAAAGGTTGATAACAATACATTGTCACTCGTGGTTGTCCATAATATCTGAAAGTAATTGATACGGAGTAGTATAATTTCTATTGTTCTCCATCAGTAGACTTTAAGCTTTCATAACTGTGTTGGTTCAGGTATGCAATCACAAAGGCTCTCTGCATTGCCTTTGTCATGACTTTCTTCTCCATATTTGATGTTCCTGTGTTCTGGCCTATATTGTTGATCTACTGGATTGTCCTCTTTGCCCTCACTATGAAGCGCCAAATTTCCCACATGCTCAAGTATAGATATATCCCATTCAACATCGGAAAGCAGGTGAGCTCATTAAGTTCTACTCTGTCCATACCATTTAACTAGAGCAGGAATTAGTAGAGCAAATGCACGTGATAATCGTGGCAGCACATATTTAGAGGATGTTTGTGTGTGCTTAATTTTTTTGAAAAGTGATTTTTTTGACAATAGAATCTAATTGCTTTTCAAAGTTGCTCCTAAACTTTTGCTTCTTCGTTTCTGATAAAAGCTGATAAACAAACACTCCAAACTGCTTCTATTCAAAGAAAAAGCCATGAAGCATTTTCAAAAGCAGCCGCAACAACCCCTTAGGGCATGTTTTCTTCAACTTATTCTTATTACATGTTCTTAATGGAATCAGATCAGTCTAGATAAAAAAACAGCTTTAAATTTAACTACAATCATACGAGTATTAGATTAGACTAGATCAAATCAGACATTAATAAAATTGGATCAAATTTAATCCGATGGATGAATTGAACATGCCCTTAGTCTCTAGTCTTGGATTCTCTTGATACTTAGTGCACGATTACTCGATTAGAGACCTTTTTTTGCTTAATCAGCTTAGCCTATCAGTCAAACTGTTTCATCAAGCACTAACTTATTCCATGAATTTGTTAATAATGAGAATAAGTAATGCAGAAGATATTATTTTGGTCAAATTTGTGAGGATGAATTATAATCACAGTTCTGTCAGATTTATTTGGGTTTGTTAACATATAACTGAATGCGTTATGAGTCAATTTTCGGGTCAGCTAGTAGGGAGTCGGTTAGCGTTTCTTTCATATTTTATTAACTAAACTAAAAAGCAGCTACGTAGTTTGCAAAAGATAGGTCCTGGTAGTTTCTTAAAGTTGTGTTGGTTTGTTCTCTCTTTGTATTTAGAGAACACAAAAATATTCTTCTGTTTTGCTTTGATCCAATCTTGTCTTTCAAGTTCTACCCTCAATTTTATGATATTGATTTCTTGAATTTGTTAACATATACGGCGTATATTTAATCTAATTCATTATGGTTTATTTTGGTGATGATGATGATGATGTAACAGAAGTACAGCGGGAAGAGAGGAGGAACAAGTGGGAGAAGTCCGAGAGGGGACTAAATTTTGTGCATGTTTGTGCTATAGAGTAGAAGTTGCTGGAATTTGTGTACTTACAAGTGTAATATGGTACCAGTAGTATATTACTCCCTAAAAGAATGCAATTTCATTTCTGCATTATTGTTGACAGTGAATTGATTATACTTAAGATGCCCATTTATATACGTATGCCCATAATTTGTTGCATTTGTATTTTGTGGTCTATTGATTCCATGTGATTATTATAGTGCCTTTGACAGTCTCCACTTCAGTTTTTGGCCTCTATTTCCACCAAGGTTAATGAAAAAGGATGAGCCCCAACCCTAAGGGTCTCTTCCGATTCGGCCGGACGATCACTGAAAAGAAGTAAATTGGACTTTAATTATCGATTAGCGGCAGAAAGTAGAGCTTGCACCTGAAAATTACTAGTGATTGATATCCCCAACTAATTATAAGCGATTGATATTCCCCATTAATTACAAGGTCAATATCTTTTGTCCCCAAACCGTGTCCCAACTCTCTTTCCTTCCTATCAAAATTTGACATGTGACCTACTCTATCCCCTCATTTAACACAAACTCACCTTAGGGGTAGGATAGGAGAGTATATTTACATGCATGAGGTGGTTAGGTGTCAAATTTTGATTGGTGGGATAGAAAATTGGGACACGGTTTGAGACAGTGAATCCTGACCCTTGTTTACAAGCGATTGATGCACTATAATTTGTGATACATTAATCGGAGATCATACAAATATGAAATATGGATTGCCTACTTTTAAGTAATGCATTAATTCAAGTAAAAGTGTCACACTAGAGTTATTGGGATGTGAATATGTGTGGTGTTGTGTTGGTCAACTAAGGTGTCATACTCTCATCTCAAAGCACTCGTAGGTATTGCACACATTTGACATGCCGAATAATTTAATGGAGTATAATTAAATTAGTAGACTAAAAGTAACAGACATAATATCACGAGGAAAGAGAAAGCTTCATTTTATTACAAACATGGACTGGATATACACGGTTATTCCAAACCTCACCTACATGTACTTTCGAAACATATGGGGAAGGGCTTCGTAGTGATAGGTTTACACACATGTACTAAGGGTAGAGATAGGTTGACTCATGATATCTTCAACCAAACCAAGGAAAAAAAACTATGAAAATTCTCACAAACACATGACAACAAAAGGATGATCAAGGGGACTAAATAGTAAGGCACATATAGAAATGATCTTGAGAATCGCTCTCACGCTCCCACGATGGTATTGATGTACTCTTCCACGCTTGTGTATTTGACATCGGGATAAAGCTCGGATGCCTCCACTCCGAAGGATGGTTCAATTTCAAAGTTAGTGTGGTCGCCCTTCACAAAGGCGGAGTGAGAGATGGATAGCCCCACATTCAATGGCACCCCGGCTTCTGTGTGCACCAACACAAAAAAATGATATGTATCAGATCATATTGCAAATTCTCTCATATGTGTTTGTATGTTTCACATGTATTTGTAGCATTTGAAGACCCCTTGACAATGTGCAAACCCCAAACTCATATTGTAGTAGTTAAGGCAAGGAGAATTAAAGATTTATAAATGAATCTAGACTACAAGGGTTTGTTTGGTACACGGAATTGATAGAATTTGAATTGAATTGTTAGTTGAAATTCTATGTATTTGATTTGGATGGAATTGAATTCTCTAATTTCAATTCATTTTTGGCACTACCAATTTCAAATCCACATATTTTTGTGCTACCAAACTGCAAAATTGAAATTGTTATTCCCAATTTCAATTCTATAGTTTGAATCCTGTGTACCAAAATCTTGTCAATTTATAAATAGATTCACTAAAGGGGCATATTCCTTTGAATGAGAAGAGAATAATTGACCTTTGATGTTCTTAAGAACTTGTTCTTCCGGAATATATTCCTTTTCAAGAGACTTGCCAATTTTCTTCTCATAGATGGCGACGAGGTCATTGAAGGAAATGATGTTTTTGGGAGGCCGGACATAGAGGATTTTGTTCAATGTCCTTGGATCATCCACTGCCTTGATGGTATATGCAGCTATGTCATCTTCCTTGTTGAAAACAGCTGCGAGATATTTATTACATTCATCAACTAATCAATTAACACTCCTACTCCATAACTTGGGGTTTTCAATTTAGAATGACAGTTTAGCAGCAACTTGCCTTTGGCAGTGCCATCGCCCAGAATAACAACTTTGTCTGTGGGGGGAGATTGTGAACCAGGCTGGGCCAAATTCGGAAGGAAGTAACCGCTGAAGAAGAAATTCGCAACGAAAGTGTGCGGTATTCCTTCCGCCTCAACCGCCCTGCGAATCCCTGATTTCACCTCGAATGCCGATTTCGCCGGCTCCACCGCATTCACCCTATCCACATCCACCCCAAACTCCGACGGCAAAAACCTCTGCAAAAAGTTTTTTTTTTCTTCTTACACTCGATCTAACAAACCGACGAAGTTTGATTGCTCCAGTATTGCAAATTAACATCAATTTCAAGCTCAATTTTGTAGCGCGTACCTTGACGTTTCCGGCTTCCTTTATAGCAGCGATGATCTTCACCTGATCGGCCAATTGAAAGTGTCCCACCGTCGAAATCACTACATCCACTTGTTTGATCGCTTTCACCAGGCTCGATTGATCGTTCAAATCACCCTGCAACAGCACATATATTAACATATACGGAATTTGATTTTAAAAAAAAACAATTATTGAGTGATTCATTACGAAACGGATCGGAATCTACGGACATGGATGAAATTGACGCCGGAATTCTTCAATCTCTGGACGACTTGCGATTTGTCGGGGTTTGAGAGCGTGGATTCTCTGATCAGAGCGAATGTGGCGTGGCCGGCATTGGCGCCGGCTTCCGCGATGAACTTTCCGATGTATCCGGTGGCGCCGATGATCAGAATTTTGCTCTTTCCGGCCATTTTCGAAGCAGGGCGACGTTGAGACGGTTGCAATTGGGAAATTCTGAGGAGGTGTGAGGTAGCTTACGTGTTGCGGGAATGAGCACTGCTGGGACCTGCATTTTAACTGTAAGGCATTGAGTGAAATTATAGTGAAACCCTTCATTCTCCCATCAATTACAGTTTTGCCACCTGGGTTAGATGGGTGTACTTGGCCGGTTTTCCGGGAGGTTCATGAACCTGTCCGGTTCCAAACCGATGGAGTGTCATTTTCTTATTCCCACAATCTAGAAATGAATTTCCATAGATTATTTACGCTTACAAATTATTTTGTTTTTAAATATATACTCCGTAAATTATATTTTTAAACTTAACAGCAACAATAAATTAAATTAAAAATAAAGTTTGTCAATCTCATAAACAGAAACCGAACAATTTAGTTTCACTACTCATTTCAAAAATCAAAATTAAGGTATATGGACCATGACCATTGACTAAGCTAGTAATTTATCTCTAGGGTTAATTATGTTTTTGGTTGGCGTAAAATTAACAAGTTTTGTTTTTAGTCCCTACAAACATTTTTTTAGTTAAATTATCCATGCAAAATTATTATTTTTCCAAATAGTCATATCCTAATTTAAATATATTATTTTTTTATCCTTGTGAAAATTATAAATTATGTTTTTAATTCCCCCAAAAGTTTTTTGGTTCATTCTTCCTCTTCTAAAATTACTTGATACACGATACAAGATTAACTTATTTTCAAAGTCAAGATATACTTTATTTAAATGTCAATGCCATTGAAATTTTTGAAGTTTTACTTAAATAACTATGTTTCTACAACTTTGTTAATTTGTTTTCTAAAGTAATACGGAGTAGTTGTTTAGATTGATTAATTAAATCGAAAAAAAGAAAAAAAAACAAAAGAAAATCAAATATGTTGATTTTGGTGATCTTGTTTTTCGCTGAGATTTGGTGACCATTTATTATCTAACATGCTTTTGTTGTCTTTCTCTTGGATGCATAATTGATGTTTTGGCTATAAACATGGAGCATTTTGCAATGAATATGTGAGTGCGTGGCTAAGAGAGAAAGAGGGTGAAGAGGGACGTGCTACACAAGATATCACCAAAAAACTTCCAATTTTGATTTTTAAAGTATTTAAGGGGAGTGTATTTTGTTATTGACTTTCCAAAAATGCCCTTTGATGTGATGGATAAAATAATATGTGAATAATGTGATGGGTAGATTAATAGAGAAAAAGTGTGAAGTGATAGGTAAATTAAGAATCATTAGAGGTAAAAGTAACTTTTAAATAGAGAAAGGGAAGAGTTTTTCGGGAGATATGAAAAAGGAAAGGATAAGAGTTTTGTGAGACGGAGAGAGTATTATTTAGTTACTCGGAAAAATACATCTGAACATAGGGTGTAAAAGGTTTCTTTATTAGTGTCTGCATTTAGCGCTTGTAAACAGGGAGAGTTTTTTTGTATATCGTTCTGAAATATTGAAGATATAATTTTTCTCTCAAATTTTCTTCTTGTATAGTGTGTTTACTTATTTTTTACGTTTTTGATATTTTAAGAGTCTTACACGCTTAAAATCTCAACAATACTTTACTTTTTAATAAAAAAATCTTTAGCTTAATAAATATTTGAGTTGTTTTTCATAAATATATTTACTATCATTACACAAATAATCACCCTAACAAAATTATAAAAATAGTCCGAGATGTTGACGGTAAAAACTTTTCTTAAAATCATTAATTTGACAAATAATACTAGAAATTGTACTACAAAGAAATATGGTATTAATTTAGCATATTATTTTTTTACAAAAAATTAAATGTTAACTTATAATTCCCGAGTCCCTAAAACATCTTCTCTTATTGACCTTTTGAGGATTTAAGGGAGAAATATTTTGCGTTGACTTTCCAAAAATATCCTTGTAAGATGTGATGTGCAGATTATTAGTAAAAAGGTATGATGTGATAGCTAGGGTATGAAAAAGTACGAGGTAAAAGTGATTTTTTAATATATAAGGGAACATCTTTTGGGGACAACAAAAGAATGAAAGAGGATCTTTTAGGGACGGAAGGAGTATAATTTTTAAATGAATTGGTAAAAACACTGTTATTCTATTAAGTATTTAAAAATATTTCACCTTTTAAATAAGTAAGTCACTAACTCTTGAACAAAAACAATAAGATTATCCTAAACGGAGTATTTAATAATTTTAAAATAAAATTCAATGAACAATTTTTTTTTAAAGGGACTACAGATATAATCTATAAATTTTACAAGGATAAAAGTCATAAAACTAAACATTTAGAGGAGGACTATTTGCAAAAATAATAATTTTACAAGAATGATTTAAATAAAAAATACTCCGTAATATATATGGACCAAACACAAAACTTACTAGTCTTACACGAACCAAAATCATAGTCAACCCTTATCTTTAATTAGTTAGTCTAGGTCCCCTCCCTTTTGATAAAAAAAATTCATCTTTAGTTAATTTATTAATTTTAAAATTTGTATATGAGTACAGTTTAAGAGTAGTCTACTCCATCCGGTCTCATGTCTTTTTTCTTGGCTTGAAGAATGTGGAAAATCTAGTATTTTTTAAAATAATTTTATTTACAAATTTGTCATGGAAAAGAAAGTATAAATAACATCGTTCAAAACTATATTAAATGTTTTTTCAAAATAATAAGTAAAAAATATATTTTATTTCATTAAATGATCAGTGAAAAGAAGCATACAAACTTAAGTTTTCAAGAGGTTGAAACAGTAATTGCGAAAAGGGATCTCCAACAAAGGAGGTATTTTTTTTTTGAAATAATGCACGAGTGAATAATAATTGTATTTTTATATATTTTAAATTAATACTTCATATATGTTATCATAGGATCGCTAATCCATTTTTAAATAATGTTGGAGAGTATGAACTGTTTTTGAACCAATGTGGAGGGAAAGGGGGAGTTATATTAATGCATGAGTAAAGAATTATAATTTGTTCGTTAGACTAAATGAATGTAAGCGATGAAAAACATGTTTTTTAATCATGAAATCACAGGGTTAGTAATTCAGGTTTTTAAAATTAAAGCGGGTGAGAAAATTTATAGGATAAAATAGGAATAAAAATATAGAAAATCTCAAAATAGAAAGTCTATATTAAAAATAAGAATTTACATTTCAGTAATTATTTCCTTTATAAGATTAATTTAAAAAAAACATCTATTAAAAATGATCGTTTTAAGAATTTACTCAAAAATTTATATAACAAACGAGCAATTAGTTTTAGGATAGAAGGTTAATAGTAAAAAAGTCTTTCAAAAGGCCCAGTGTATGTTAGGCCCAAATGTAAGGCGATCCATTTACAAACGGAGTATCACTCTTTTATAGTCCACTAGACTCGTACCCGTGCGATGCACGGACTATTATTTGACATATAATTATTCAATGTTTTGAATAAGGAAAAATGTTACAAAGGAAAATATTCCCTCAGCGATGCACGGGGAGCATTTCATTATTATATTTATCATTAATTACAATTTATTTAATAGTTTAATTAATAAGGAAAATATTCTCTCAACGTCACAAAATCAAAATTTTAAGGCCTTGACGATTTGTCACTCGAGAAAATGTAACGTATAACTGTCCATGACTAAAGACCGTTATTTTCAGTAGAAGACTAACATGCTTCAGGGATTGGCCTTGACTTTTATTTGTTGTCATAGCGTATGAGGTCATTATCGGAAATTGTTTTCTCTTAAATATTAAAAGGAATCCTCGAATCCGAAGGTGTAAGTGCAAGTCTTGGAATCACAAACTCGTTTCGAGCATGTTTTTTGTGCAACATGTCTTCAACTCCTCACCAACATTAAGGGCAGTCATGTAAATTCTCCATTCACTATCCACAGGTCTAAATTCTCCTTTCACTATCCACGGCTCTAAATTCTCCATTCACTATCCACATGGCTAAACCTTTTTTATTTGATAAATTTTTATAATATGCTTTGATAAAATAATATTGTCATGTCAATCTCTAGTTTTATAGATTTTTTTATGTGATTTTATTATATCTACTATTAAATTTTTAATTGAATAAAATTTGTCATATAAAATGATATAAAAATAATTTCAGTCGAAAAATAAGTAAGTAAACTCAGTGTATCTCATATTTCCAAAATTATTATTTTTTATTTAAAACACAAAATAGATTCTTATTTAATCATAAATATAATGTTAAAATTTTTATTGACAAAAAATTAAAAATGGACAAATATTATGAACACAAATATATTTAAAGATAAGCCCATTACTTATTCAGGCCCAAAAACCCATCCCTATCAGAATACGGAGTATAAAACTTTTTTGCATGAAAAATTTTTGTATCCTATTTGATAAAATAATATTGTAAAGTCGATCTCTAGGTTTATAGATTTTTTCATGTAGTTTTTTTATATGTAATTTTAAATTTTTAATTGAATAGCATTTGTCATATAAAATGATTTAAAAATAATTTCAGTCAAACATCGTAATGCATAATGAGAAGTTTATTTCTGTACGCAAGTAGAAAAAATAGGGTAGTAAACTCACTTTATCTCATATTTCTAAAATTATTTTTTTTATTTAAGACACAAAATAGATTCTTATTTAATTATAATTACATAATTTTTATTGACAAAAAATCAAAACTGGACAAAAATTCTGAATACAAATATTTAAATATAAGCTCATTACTTATTCAGGCCCAAAAGCCCATCCTTATCGGAATATATGAGCTTCCCAGCCTAGCCCTAATTTATTTTCAGCCGCTCTTTACTCTCTCTCTCTAATCGCCGTTTACTCTCTTTCTCTCATCGCCATGAAGAATTTTTTTGGAGATATCGGTTTTGGCGATTCATATATCGCAATATGTGATATTGTTTAACATCGTTTTTTGTAAGTTTTTTTGGATTCAAGATTTTTTATTTCAATTCGTCTTTTTTTGGTAATTCCGTAGATCGGAATTAAATCACGGGATGTATATACGTATATATTCTCAAATTTTCTAAAGATCTTTAGATCTTTATATATGAATATATATATATATATATATATATATATATATATATATATATATATTAAGCTACTGGGATTCGATTTTGACATGCATGAATCAAGATTGTTGAGTTAATGTTTTAATGATTTTTTCATTTTGATTCGTTAGAAGTAATTCTTAACATCGGATTGGCATGAGATCTTTACCTTTTCAATTTAGATTCTTTAGATCTTTATATATGAATGTGTGTGTGTGTGCACGTGTGTGTATATATATATATGTCGATTTACTTCAATCAATTTATATATAGTTCTCTCTCTCAATTTTTCTCTTAATTCACACTATTTCTTCATTTTTTTCATTAATTATGACAGTAGATTTTGAATCTGCACATTTTTTTCTCAAAATATGTACAGATTAAAAAACCCTATATTTGGTTTGTTATTCTTGTTCTTTGAATCTGCTAACTACTAATTGCCAATAAAGACTATTATTTGTGGCAAATCTGTTGCTAATGAACTCGTGGTATATATATATATATATATATATATATATATATATATATATATATATATATATATATATATATATATATATATATATATATATATATATATATAAAACGCTCTCTCTCTCTAACAATCTCTCTCTAAACTCTCTCTCGTGCATGTCCACCGCGTTAGGGGCGGCGACCATTCGGTCGTCGTCCACAGCTCCGGCTACTACTCCTCCATCGTCTTCTGTCACAACTCCTGCCACCAAAAGCTTCAAGGAAGCTGTTTGCCCTTCTTCACCACAAATTCATACCAAGCTGATTGAAAAATTCAAAGGCTTGCCTTGCATTTCCTTCTCTAATGAAGAAATCCTTTCCCTGGCTTCCGGGTTTCAATTTGCCCTGGTGGGCAGCTTCTTTGGGAAAAGGCCATCCCTGGAGATCATCAGAAAATGGTTGGAAAAAATAGGCTTTGTGGGTTTTTCTGTTGGGCTCCTCCACCCTGCTCATGTCCTCATCAATTTCTCGTCTGAAAAGGATTACCAAAGATTATTCTTGCGCAAAGATTGGAACGTCCAAGGAGCAACCATGAACATCACCAAATGAACCACTAATTTTGACCCCAATAAGGTAACCTCTATCATTCCTGTTTGGATTTCTATTGCAAACCTGCCCGTTCACCTTCATGATCATAAAGCACTAATGGCTATTGCAAATATCTTTGGAAAAACTATTAAACTGGACTCAACTACAGAAAACTTCAGCAGGACTTCAGTGGCCAGATTCTGTGTTGAAATGAACCTTTCCAGCCTCCCTCAGAATTCCTTCTATGTTAAAAATGGAGATACTCCCTTACTTCTGCAAGCAGAATTCGAAAACCTCCATGATTTCTGTAAAATCTGCAAAGGGATTAACAGACACTCAGCTTCCTGCAAGCACTTCTCTCCTCCAATGGCTAAGATTCCCATGCCAAACAGCAACCAAACATCCTCTCCCAGCCAACAATCCCATCACAGTGATACTTCCTCTAAAAAGTTACAAACCAATCCCTCCAAGCAGCTACCACCCAAAAAGCCCACTGTCCCCACCCCCTCCACTAAACCACAGGCCAACAGGCCTGTCAGTACCAACAACAACAACCGGACAAATACCACCTCAACACCTAATTCTACAGCCCTCTCAGTGCCTACTTCTCATGTGCCTTCTTCTGATAACCTGAGCCCAATCCCAGTGTCTACTTCTCACACCCAGAGCCCAATACATGAACCCTCCAACCAAACAAGTAATCACAATCAACCCACCCCTCCCTCTGTCCCACCTTTTGCCCAGTCTCCCACCCCCATCCAGATCCCAGCTCAACCCCCCTCTAATCAGTCCCTTTCTCTCATCCCTAATCCTCTTCCCAACACCCCACCCTCTCTCCCGGCTGATCAGGAACTATTCGAGAACAACTTTCAAGAGGAGATTTTTAATAACCTTTTCCCCATCTTTGCACAAGGTAGAGATGAAAACTTCAAAGGTTTTCTCCATAAGGCAGACCAGCCCAACCCACAACATGAACACTACCACTCAGAAGGAGAAACCTTCCCCAAAAAATGTCCCAAACCTGCCAACAAGGAACCAAACACATCAATCAGAACATTGGATTTAGAAATCAAAAGGAGATCAGCTAGGCTCTTAGAAAAGGCTTTTTCTCACAATTCTTTCTCCCTCCTTCAACAATGAATGTCCTCTTTTGGAATATTAGAGGCATAGCCTCAAATCTCCCAAGATTAAAATTCCTTATCACAGATTTACATATTCACTTTGTGGCTATCATTGAACCCAAATGCACTGGCAATAAACTCACCCAATTTCAGCTTGGACTGGGTTTTGACTCTGCTCTTCAACTCTGCAACAATCAAATCTGGGCTTTCTGGAACTCAGACTCCTTGATACTGGAATCCTCTTCCTCATACACTCAGCTGGGCCACCTCCTTTTCACAAGCAAAGCCCTGCAAACAAAACTTCATATTTCAACCATTTATGGTAAGCACACAAAGGAAGAAAGAAGGGACTTATGGCACTGCATCTCCACCCTCTCTGGATTTATTAATGAACCATGGCTCCTAGGAGGGGATTTCAATGCTATCAGCTCACTCTCTCATCACAAGGGTAAAAGCACCCCTGAATGGTTAGTATTATGGAATTTGACACTTGCATTACTCAAAATGGTCTGATTGAGCCCCCTTTTTCTGGCTCTCCTTTTACTTGGCATGGGTCTAGAAGTCTGGGAAAAATTTGGAGGAGATTAGACAGACTCTTCCTCAACTCCCACCTAGACAACTTTAACTGCCTAATCTCTTCTGAACACTTAGCCAAAGGTGGCTCTGACCACTCCCCAATTCTCCTTAAAATTATCAATGGTAATTTTAAGGGTCCTTTTCCCTTTAAATTCCTAAACTGTTGGACTGCCAACCCCTCCTTCCTCACCATTATTAAAGACAACTGGGAACCCTACAGGGGAGGGGGAATGAGAGGCTTAATGGACAAGCTGGTGAATTTGAGGAAAGTCATTCAAGCCTGGAACAAAAGTACCTTTGGGAACATCCTCAAGAACAGAACTAAGATGGAGGATATACTGAAACTAGCTGAAGAAGCCTACAATGACAACCCAACTCATGACAGCAACACCAGGATGCAACAAGCCAGATCAGATCTTAATAATTGCCTTGCCATAGAATATTCCTACTGGAAGCAAAAATCCAATCTGAAATGGGTAAAGGAGGGGGACCTAAACACCAAGTTTTTCCAAGCCTTTGTCAAAAACAAAAGGAACTTTCAAAGGATTCAAAAAATCAAGAACACTGATAACAATTGGCTTACTGAGTGGGATGACATTGCTTCAGAGGCCACCTCTTTTTCCAATACCCTCTTCAGACATGAGGAAGCTGACTTATGCCCAGAAATCCTGGACAATATTCCCCTCACCCTGAACCATAATGACAACCTCTTCCTTTGCAGCCTCCCCACCATGGAAGAGGTTAAAACTGCAATCTGGGACCTCTGCCCAGACAGCTCTCCAGGACCTGATGGTTTCATTGGCCATTTTTTCAGGGTAACCTGGGATACCATCAAAGAAGATTTGTGGAAAGCTTGCCAAGAGTTTTTCCTAGGCATTCCCCCTCCCAAAAGCCTCACTCAATCCACCATCATCCTTATCCCCAAAACTGAGCACCCCTCAAAATTCTCTGACTACAGACCCATTTGCCTCTCCAATTTCATTGCCAAAACCATTTCTAAGATCTTGACTACAAGACTGTCCTCTCTCCTACCTAAAATCATCAGCCCTGAACAGGCTGGCTTCATGAAAGACACTCTTATTCAAGATCAGATCCTCATTGCCCAAGAAATGTTCCATGGCCTTGCTAATAAATGCAGGGGGGGAAATCTGGCCATCAAGCTGGACATGTCTAAAGCTTTTGATCGAGTGTCCTGGGACTATCTACTTGAAGTCTTGAGGAGATTTGGATTCTCAAACCAAACCACACACCTTATTCACAACCTCTTGGCCACTACCTCTCTCTCTATCAACATTAATGGCAAGAATACCAAACCTTTTCAGACTTCCAGGGGGTTAAAACAAGGAGATCCCCTATCTCCTTTTCTCTTCATCATTGCCTCAGAAGGTTTCAGTAGAACTCTGAACAACCTTGTCCTCACCAAGAAAACTGCAGGCTACAACTTGGGAAGAAACTACCATCCTATCTCCCACCTTGCTTTTACAGATGATCTTATTCTTTTCACTAATGACTCTGGTCCTAATCTTAAACAAGTTCACAGCTTTTTGAGGAACTATGAAAGGTGCTCAGGTCAAAAGGTCAATATGGATAAAAGCAACTTTTTCACCCCCCCTAAAACTCCCAACCACAGAATCAACTACATGTGCAGCACCCTTAGAATGAACCATGGTACTCTACCCTTCAAATATTTGGGTGTTCAAATATTTAGAGGGATTAACAGAGCTCACTACTGCCAAACACTCATTGATCAATTTAACAATAAATTGAAGGGCTGGCAGGGCAGACTCCTCAACCACAGTGGCAGACTTATCCTCCTCAAACACAACCTAAACTCCATTCCCCTCCACACCATAGCAGTCAACAAACTCCCTAAATCTATCATCCATCTGCTTCACAACAAGATGTGCACTTTCCTCTGGGGTCAGACAGAAGGGAAAGACAGCTATCATTGGGCATCTTGGGACAGAATCTGCTTGACAGAAGACAAGGGAGGTCTAGGAGTCAGATCCTTGGATGCTATCCAAGAGGCCTTCACCCTCAAACTCTGGTGGAACTATCATGCTAACAACTCCAGTTGGAGCCATTTTATGAGAGAGATATCCCAGAAACAACAACTTCACCCCTAAAATTACTGACTCTACCATATGGAAAAGAATTTGCTCTATTCATGAAAAAGCCACTAATTTTTTTTTTTGCAGGAGAAGAAGACCAAGAAGCTTTTTTCAGAAATAAGCAAATTACTTTCAAAGAAGCTTACCTTGCAATCCAACCTGAGGAAGAGGAAGCAGAACCTGACCAAGAAGCAAATTCCAAAAATCTCCTTCTTCCAGTGGCGCCTTCACCAGAAACTGCTACCTTTCCCTGCACACTTGAGGAAATTTGGAATCACTTCATTGCCTTCCATATGCCATCTCTGCAAAAGGGATAGTGACACAGACTATCACGCTCTCTTTCAATGCCCCTAAGCTAAACCCATTTGGAGCTACTTCGAATGGATCTTCAAAATACCGTGGCAAGCTGTTGAGTCCAAAATATTCACTAATTATTCTCTATAAAATCAGTATTTTCGGGCATTAAAAAGTGCATTTTTACACTTAAATGATTATATTTGCATTCTAGGCATCGTTTATAAAATATGTTCATAATGCACACTTTCCAGTTTATTTTTGAATATTATTGTTGTGGACCCAAATTCTCCTTGACAAAGGTTATTAGATATATTCTTGGAGCATAAAGGGCGGGCTGAAAATGTGAAAATAATTCAGTTGGGCTCTACCCCGACTTATGGTTTCAAAGGAGATCCGGGCCCAAGATGACAAAGCCCAAAGGTCCACCTCCAATACACACAAGAAGTTTGAGAGAAGCTGCGTAAAAAAGGAGAAAAAGAGAGAGAGACGTGTGAGATAGAAGAGCCGAAGACTCCCTCTCCTACATTGGGTCGGCTTCTTCAAGCATAGCTGGAGCCGGAGAATCCGCAGCAAGAATTGCAGCGCACAAGGAAGTCCTAATCGAAGACAGAAGAGACGAAGAGCACCTATAAAGCGAGGGGGATGCGGCGAAGAACTTCACCACCACCATCAAGAACAAGAATTAGAGCTTCAATTCAAGGGTACGAACCCTAGGGGGGGTCGGGTCTTGAACCCAAAACCCCCTTCGTTCCCGTTTGTTTTCATCTTTTTAGTGATTCTTTTATTCATATTAGGTCTAATTTCAATTTTTAGTCCCTTTGATTCTCTCACAATTGAACGAATTCTGTCTGGTTTTCTTTGATTCTGAATGTTGTGTTCTTTAAAATCAATGGTTGTTTTCAAAACGTTGGAGATACTGTCATGGATTTGGTTTGGAAATTTGACCAAGTTCCCAATTTATTTTTGGGCATGTATGTTTGAGTATGGCCTTGCGATGCACTGGCAGTTGCTTTTGTTTCTGGATTTCATTCACTGCCCATTTTGGAAGTAGTCATAATGAATGATTTTTCATGATTTAAACCTTCCAATCATGCTGGCTTTAAGTGGGTTCAAAAGCACCAGAACAAGGCCGTGTTGTTTTTGAGCAACCTTGAGAAGTTTTTTTTACTTTCTTATGTAATCTAGGAATTGATTTTGTCAAAAATAGCATATGAAACCAGAATTTTTAGAGGAAGTATTGAATCTTGTTGCCTAAAATTAAATCTGTCTATGGGTTTACACTTTTACTTCAAGTTTAATACTCTTAAAATAATTCAAGTTATGCTTCTGTTAAATTAAATAAAAGGTGTTTGAGAACTATTTTTCAATTGATTTTACTTAAGTTGGGTCAAATTAGGATCGCGACCTAATCTGATTTAAAATGATATTCTTTAAAAGTCCAAAGTGCTTTAAATAGCCGAATTTTTTTAGAAACCAAGTGTCACTTGATTAATACTAGATTGTCTCGTTAAGTGATTTTTGCTAATCAAGGTTCTCAAATTGATTTTGTTAAATAACCTTCGTGTTACTGCAAGATTGTTACGGTGATGTTTTCCACAAATCTCAATGCACTATTCTTAGTAGTAATCTAAGGGTTGGTCTTTGGGTTACTAAGGGTAGTAGGGTTTAGAGTTAGGGTTGGTCCTAACATGAGCTTTTATGAATGGGAAAATAGGGAAGAGCCATTGGTGGACCTCTTCTTCAGCCTAACCCTTTATTTAATTTATAGTTGGTTGATGATTATGCGAGTTTTTAACAAAGATTTGATCCTAGATATTTATTTTCTATACTATAAAACACCTTGTTGATTTTCCAAAATTGTTCAAGTCCCTAAATTAATGTGTTATGTGTGCTTGTCTTCTTTGTTTGGGCTTCTTGGTGGAGTTATGTTCTGTTTTTACCCTTGGTTTGTTTTGAGATTTGTTCTGGTGTGGTGTGTCACTTTAGTTAGTTTTTTTACTTTATTTAGAAAACAATTTTCAAACCCCCCTTATCTTTTAATTTAGTTTATAGATTTTAGATAGTTGTTTTTATTCAATAAAAAGTGACAAAGTAAACCGATTTTCATAACTTGAAAAATATCTTTCCTCGTGGGATCGACCCTTACTTATCCTATTTACATGTTTAATAAATATTATTTTAACAAGGAGGAACTAAGTAAAGGAAAATATTAAATTAATTTTTTAGGTGCTACGACACGCCTATCACAAGCAACACACGGTGTGAGAGCCTACCTCCACAAATGGTGGACAGAATACCACAACCAAACTCTAGAAGGATGGCTCAAAGGTATCATACCTGGAATCATCTCCCACCAAATTTGGAAGGAAAGAAACCGGCGCATCCATGAAAACAGCAGCAAAGAGTCAGGGAGACTACTTCAAGACTGTATTGCACAAGTACAGGAGTGGGTTCTTGGAAGGGCTCCTTCAAAGCTTAAGTACTTCGACGCCTGGAGACTTCCTCCTGAACTTATGCTCTCGCAGCAAAGGAACCCCTCCCTTAGAGTCCATAGGTGGACCAACACCTCGGACAACGGATTACACCTCTCCACAGATGTTGCAATCAATCAAAATTACGGGGTGGCTAGTGCAGTTTTACGCAGAGGAAATGGCACTTTCATTGCAGCAGGAACATGGAAGATTGAAGAAACATCTGCCTTACAAGGTGAGGCAAAAGCTTTAGCCATTGGCATACAATGGGCTGCACATTTTGGAAGATATATTTGGGCCAACACTGACTGCAAAAGTCTAGCCAAGTCAATCTCCAGCCGCAAAAACCCGGGAGTCAACCATGAACTTTGGACAACTCTCCTCCATGCTTTCTCACATTCGGGTCAAAAGATCTCCTACATACCTCGAGAGGGAAATATGGGAGCCCATCATTTGGCCAAATGGGCCATCCAACATAATCTTTTTACTCCTTGTATTTCTTTTCTCATTGCTCCCCCACATGTTCAGGGAGCAATCACAGCTGATGTAATGCTTCCTTTCTTTCGCTAATCAATAAAAAGCTAGCTTCATTATATATATATATATATATATATATATATATATATATATATATATATATATATGCATGTATGTATAAACATGCATAATCAAAGAACATGTGTTTAAATTTGTGTGTATAAATATATGGCTGTGATGATATTGAAATGGTGAAATTAGAAGGCTCATTCTATACCAATTATTACCGCACCGCGATGTTTCTTGTTGTCTATGTCTTGGAGTAAACGCCATTGCCCAAGACCTACCATTGACTTGAGTATTTTTCTGGAAATAAAATGGATTTGATTCTGCGCTTATTAGAAGTGGAATGTGATGTTTTGAGAATTAGAAACTGGGATGTATTTATAATAGTTCAAAGCTGTAGACAAGTGATGTATATTAGGGTTTAAACAGTTTCATGGGCCAATTTTGCCCATAAAAGGCAGCCCAGTACTTGAATTTTTTTCTGCAAAATGCATTTATTGTCCAAATTTTTTAAAGATTCCAATCTAAATATTTAATGTTGATAAGACATAAAGTAATCTCTACATTAAAAGTAGAGATTGCTTTTTCGGCTGTCGTGCTCACACTGTCCGAGGGGCCTCGTAAAAAATTAAACCCGTACACCAAGTAGGCCCAAACGCGTCCAATAAATAGGCCCAAACTCGAACCACAAAGCAGGCCCAAACCCATCCACCAAGCTCTCTGGCGGGTTCACAAAAGTATATATATTTTACTCCATTTTATAATTTCCGTCGCTCTATAAATACATCAAAACCCTATCGGCAACCACCCACCATCATCTGGCCGCCGTGCTTAACAGCCTCACGCTCTGTAAAAATTAGGGTTCCTTTTATACTCTTTGATAATGTATTTTGTGCGATCGGAAAGAGGAGGAAGGCGATGATGAGGGTATATATGTAAATCTCGTTAATCTGATTCATATATGAGGATTATACTTCCCATCCATTCTTTTTTCTCACTGAGCTACTCCTCTCCGATCCGCCATTTCCGAGCTCCTGCGTTTTCTATAATCAGTTTTCGCTGTTTTTTAATTTGAGCATTTTGAATGCCAATTCTTTTGCGACGAGTTTATATTTTGCAATTAAGAGGCAGGGAAGTCCAATTGATTTCCCTAAAATTTTCAAATTGAATGTTTTTTTTGAATTCCTTTCCATTTTTGTTGGTGCTCGTCTATTTGGTAGAGAAGATTTGGATTTGCGTTGGTGTTTTAATTAGAATTTCCCTGATTTAGATTTATTTCAAATTGGTAATGTTTAAAGTTGCTTTTTTTTTTTAGTTTTTTTAGATATTGTGAAATTTAATTTTTTTAAATAGGGCTATCATTTTTTCTTATGCAATGGAGAATATGATAATTATGGGTAGAAGTGTTTAGTGCTTGGAAAGTTGTGGTGAAGATATTTTGTGAGTCATATTGACCACGAGTGGGAAAAACATGAGGTTAACTAAGACTTATAATTTGAATAATGTTTTTTTAATCAGGAATCAGCATGTAAATTGAGAGTTGAAAATTATTGCAATAGTAAAAATTGCATGTTTGTTTGCTCTTTATATTATTTTGAAATGTACTATATTTTATTTTACCGAGTTGTAACTTTGTACTAACTATTTTTTGTATAGATACATAGTTTGCTTCATACTTGAAATTAGCAGATCAGAATGAAAGTTTGTTTTAGCTCCTAAGTTTTGCCTTGATATACGGCTTTCTCTTGGAAACGTATGAAACTTAGGAGCCCCAAAATAGGCTTCCATTCATTCTATTCTGATTTCCAGCATGGTTTTTTTTTAAATCTAATTGAGAACTCCAGTTTCTAAGCTGATCCTTTGTTATAGTCTGTAGTTAGTACAGATAGTGTATTTGGAGAGGGATGAATAGGTGGGTTAATGGTAAAAGAACTCATGAAAGGCCTAGAAGTATCTGAAGCCCTATATTAAGTTTTTCTAGTTTTATTGTTACTCCGTATCATTTATTTTATTTTAATGAGGATTAGTTATGTATTTTCTATATGTTGGAAAAGATTTTTGTTACTCCTTTTTTAATTATATGAATTATTATTAAGTTGTATAATCATTGATTCCTTTGGATTATGAATTGAGCCGTTTATTTTTTGGACCATGCTAGCGTGCCACCACATGTGCTATCATGAGTGCATTTATGCTTCGCACAGACAAACATAGACGATAATTGTCTGTGCGACACAGACATTATTGTCTGTGTTTGTCTGTGCGAAATATGGGTGCACTAATGATAGCACCCATATGGTGGCCCTAGCATTTTCCTTATTTTTTTCATATATGGCCTTATGGGATTTATAAATGAATCCCATCCTTTGTGAAATCCCACTAATTATTAACTTTGTGAATTTTGAATGCCTTTCATTTGCAAGATCTACGGTAGTTGTTGATGTAATCCTATTACTCCTGTTTTGAATAAAATTACCTGTTTAATGTTTTTTTGTCAAATTTAATTTTTTTTCTTTTTTTAGTTATTTTATAAAATAATATTATTGTGTCACTATTTTTTTTATAGATTTATATATATATATATATATATATATATATATTAACATTAATTTTTATGCTTAAGTGTTATGCTAGTTTGTTTTCTATAAAATGATTTAAAAATAATTTTAGTAAAATATTGTAAAAGGAAACATATTCTTAGTGATAGTAACGAAGTCTAAAACTTAGAGTCTGTTTTGTATGCCAATTGATTAAATTCATATTAGTATTTTAACTTGTGTCATACACCGGGAGAAATGATTAATTTTTGTTTTTATAATCTTTCATTGTTACAAAATTTTTCCAAATATCGATTGAAATAAGATATGCACGAGAGGGAATGAAATACTCCGTAGTTTTTTGAATCTACAAATTTTCTTTACTATAGCATAATTTACAAGTTGAATGAAAGTAAACATAGATTTTAAAAATTAAAGAAATGATATAACATATAACATTTGCTAATAAAAATACTACTTTATTAATTAGTATTAATATAAATATTTGAAAAAGTTTGAGATATATAATTGTTTTGTGAAGTTTGCATTGTGATAATGTGATGTTGTATTTGAATATTTTATAATATTTTTTGGTAATGTATATAATTATGATTGTTACTGTAAATCTATTTTAATTTTTATTTTGAAAATGAAAACATAAAACTTTTATTTTTGGTATATTTTGGAGTTTAAATAAAAGAATTAAAATTAAATGTTAGTTCTCAAACACTATTTTATATATGTCGACTTTATTTTGGACGTTTTTTTGCGGATGCTAAAATTACACCGAAAAACTTTTTACAATTTTTCAACGATTATTTTTGTGCCATTATTTTGATAAATATTTTTTAATAACGTAATTGATAATACACCTTTTAATAACACAATGTTTGAGTTCGACTTTCATTAATAGTTATAGCAAACATAAATTCTAAGAAATTAATTTTTTTGAAACTTCAACGCAAATGATACCAACTTCATTTAGGATTTGCAGACTTTCTAACACCTCTGGTATGGTGACACATTTTACTTTGATTAACTGTATTTTATATTTTAATTTAAATATCGCTTGCTAATAGATAGTTAAAAAAATATATTTTTAAGTTTATGTCATAAATTGTCTAAAACTTGATAAAATTTCTACGCATTAAATCAAATCATAAAATTAATATATTTAAACTATCAAATTTTGTATAGTAATTTTTCTACTTGAATATTATAATAATCTAATCATTTGTTATTTTTTAATTTTTTAAACATAGTTTTAAAAATATATTCTCTTTTTTAATTTTATATCATTATTTAAATAAATGGATTCAAAATAACTTTATTTTAACATATGCTAAACAAATATTCGTATAAAGTTTTTTAATGGTGAAAAGAGTTACATGTTTATTAATTGGAAGCTTTGTTATATATAAAGAGATAAGAAATTGAATTTGAAAAGAATATTATTCTAAAACAAAGATCTAAATTTCATATTTAAATTTTTAAAAAAATGTAATCCTAAAATATTTATTTCATATTTTCTTATGTGAAATTAGGTTTAATAAATCACATAATAAATACACATGTCAACTTTCTAAAGATATAAGTTTCATGTATAGAAATAAAAGATTTATTAGAATATTAATAATTTTTTTTGAAACAAAAATTAGAATTTTAATTTAATCTTATGTCAAGTATTATTTGTAGTATATTTAATTTTTTATCCCACATTGAATTTTTTTGAGTGAATGTTAAATATTTATTTAAGTATATAAAATATTTATTTAACTTGTAATTGATTGCCTATCATAAATTTCTAATAAATTTTTTTTGTTCTTTTGATTGCCTTACATAAATAAATGAGAATTTGTCAAAAAAATAATGCCACATAGATATCACCACATTTCATTTTTTTAAAAAGCCACATGTCAAATTTTTAGAGTTAGGAGTTTCAAATTTGTATATAAAGAATTGAATTAGAAACTAAAATTCATGCAAATGATTTGGATTGACTTGCATTTTCAAATGCCTATTCAGTTTTGAAACTTTGAAGTTGTAATTCTAATTTCACATATTTTTATGTTGCCAAATAATAAAATTTAAATTGTTATTCTCTTAAGACTATTAAGATTACTTTCAAAAGAAAATTCACTATTGAAGAATTGCTGGCGTATCTGTTCTAATAGTTCTTTTGAAACCAAAGTATTTTTTTTTCCGTTTTTTACATTCTCATGAAGTATAGGAATTTTTCTATGCTAAATTTCTGTTATAAATTATTGCTCTATTTATCTTAATTTGAATAATTGATTTTGGTTTATAATATTTGACTAAAAAGTTATGATGGATTTTATTAATCATAGTTTCAATAAAAAACATTGAGAACTGAAGTGGATTTATAAAATAGCCTTATAACCAAAGAGTATTTAATAAAATACGTGATATGAAAAATAAAATGTTTTATCACCTCTCACTTTGTAAGATTTTTGTTGTAGTTTATTAATCAGTACTTTTTATTTGATATTGATACACCTCTTTATAAATTACATGATTTTAAAAGACAAAACATTCCTAATCAAATTAGGAATAGAAAGTTAGGGAGTATATAAAAGGATAGGAACGAGCCTCCAAAGTCCAAATCGATTGGGCGTGATAAGCCAGCCATGGAAGACAGGGTGGTGCGATTGAGAGAAGCCATTGCTGAGAGTGGTTCAAAATCCGATCACCCGATTCTCTGCGAGTTCTGCTTCGGGGACAATCCCCGCATCACCGAGGTTTGCACTCTCTCGGATTTTGCTACCGTCGGATGACGTTTTCAAAACGCTAACACTAATTTCTGACGCAATTTGTTTTGTTTCGAAACATCATATCGGAGCCAAACATGATTTGGATGGCAAGGTTTGATAACTATGTTTTGGATTGCAGGCGCCTTACGATTACTTTTGCAAAACGTGCGCGCGACCCTTCACGCGGTTCCGGTGGAGGCCGAGTCGGGACGGGAGGTACAAGAAGACGGAGGTCTGCAAGCCGTGCTGCGTGTCGGGATTGGTCTGCCAAGGTTGCGGTGTTGAACTGTCGAGTTTGTCGCCGGATCAAGTCCGAGAAACCACACCTCATGTGGCTACGTATGATGATGTCCTTGACCTTGGGAGCACGAGGAATGGTGAAACCTGATAAGCTTTTAGCTCCTTCGTTTGTTTATGTTCTTTTTTTCCAGTTTTTATTTCTGTACTTTGAATGCCTTTCTTTTGCTATTATTGTTCTTAATTTTAATTTTATATTTTGAATTGCGTAACAAATGGAGGCTTAATCTCTAACTATTAAAAGTATTTTCAAAAGAAAATTCACTCTGGAAGAATTGATGTGCTATCGCTTCTAATACTTCTTCCGTCCCTAAATAAACGTTTCCTTTTGTTTTTTCTTTGTTCACAAATAAACTTCTCTTTTCCTTTAAAAAACACCTTTTACCTCTTACTTTTTCATACCCTACCTATCACATCATATTTTTTTTTACTAATAATCTACATATCACATCTTACTTTTACACATCATATCAAAGGTATTTTTGGAAAGTCAACACAAAAATATCTCTCTCTTAAATCCTCAAAAAGTCAAAAAGAGAAATTTATTTAGGGACGGAGAGAGTAGTTCTTTTGAAACCAAACTATTTTTCTTTTGTTTTTTTACATTCTCTTTTATTGGGACGTGATTATGTATTTATGTTTCTCCTCTATTTGTTTTACACTGTTTAACTGGGCGCAACTATTGATGTTATCACCTCCCTCTCCCTCGGCCTTTGTACTCGCAAAGTCGCAAGTCTAACATTATTGGACCATCAAATATAGAAATTTTTCAATGCTAAATTTTTGTTATAATAAGTTATTGCTCTATTTATCTTGATTTGAATAACTTGTTTCGGGTAATGATATTTGATTAAAGTTAAATGAATTTTATTCATCTTAATTTCAATAAAAATCATTGAGAATTGAAGCGGATTTATAAAATAAAATTTTTTTTATATTAAGAAATAACATTAAAAATTCAAAATTCTAAGTAACGTGATGTGCCATGAGGAAATATTACTTGAAAAATAGCATAAAAAAGTTTACTCAACATTTCATATTTGGTACCAAAATTTGCTTATTTGGTAAAGAAATTTTTTATACGTTTTCATTTAAAAATTAAGAACTTAATTCATCACAATTTTTTTTACATTTTCATTTAAAAAATTAAATACTTAATTGAACCCCACTTTTTTACCTTTTAATTTAAAAAAATTAAAAACCTAATTTAAAACCACTTTTTGACCTCTACATTTAAAAAATTTATACTTAATTTAACACCCTTATATTTCCAACTTTAAAAATCATTATCCGAGTTGTCTTTTTCTAGTATTTTTATTTTTATGTTTTTTTATTTTGGATTGGTATTTTCTTTTATTTAGTATTGTAGTTTCGTTTAAATCAATGACATGTTATTGTATTATTATTATTGTCTTAATTAATCATTTACACTTTATATTTTTAATACATTCTAAAATTAATTTTTAATAAAATTAATACTCTCTCCGTCCACAAATAAAGTTCCCATTGCGCGTTACGATATTTGACTGAAATTATTTTCAAATCATTTTATATGAAAAATGGTATGGAATTAGAAAATAAAAATTACATATTTAAAAACTACATGAAAAGATCTACAAAATTAAAGGTGACATGACTATATTATTTTATCAAATAAGACACAAAAATAGACCAACAAAGTGAATAAAGTTTGACCATGTGAATAGTGAACGTGAATTTATTGTTGGACAGAGGGAGTAACTAATAACATCATTTATCCGTCTAATATAAACCATGCAAGATCTCTCATAACCCATCACCATATCTTACTGTATAAGAGTAAATTTAATGCAAGAAATACAAACTAAAGTTGGACTTTCTAGCGGAGAAAGTGTGAAAGCCACAAAAAGGCGATGTTATCTTGAGTGACTCTTTGAAATTGACAAATGTTTTGCTTCTCCCTAAACTTAATCACAATTTAATTTTTGTCTCACCACTTATTGAAGATAAAAAATTGCTTATTTACTAGCAAGTTTTGTGTGGTACAGGATTGTACCTTGAAGAGGTGATTGGAAAGGGTGAATAAACTATTCTATGCATTGTCTTAACGCCTTGATGATGTCTTGTTGTTTTGACATTTTGTTGTTTTTAATTAAGAAGAGTTGAAAATAGTAAAAGTTTACCAAAAATATCTTTTAATGAAAATGGATGAAGTGTATTAAATGATGTGTGTGAAGTTTATAATAAACAAAATAAGTAGAAGTAATTGTGGTATTTTAAATGTTGAAAACGATATAAAAAGACCTATGGAAGATAAATAAAATAGGATAATGGAAAAATCTATGAGTAGGCATGTCCGAACGCGTATAATACCCGTAATTTTTTAGCGGATATAGGAGTATAAAAATACCGTTCACCCCTACCCAAATCCGTACCCGTTGTTTTAAAAAACTTAAGGGTCGGGTATAGGACGAGTAGATAATATTAAAAATTACAAAATCTTACCCCTTTTCTTCACTACTCCCCTTCTTCACGAGTTGCGTGGCTTCCAAATCTATTTGTATTTATTTCACCAAACTAGACGCATGTGCATGTTGATTTATGCATGCAATAGTATAAAAAATAGTTTGGAATTTGTTGTAATCTTATAAAAAAGATTCTTGCAACATGAATGGATGTGACAAGAATGTTGATTATAAATCTAAGATTTTGTTGTAGATTTTTGGTAAATAAGGCCGATTTTTTGCCGTAGCCTATTAGTCTTATTTCTAAAAAAAATTTCAATTATACAAAAATAAAATATGTCAACTTTTATCACGGGTATACCCGACCCGATACCAAATCCCCATGGATCCAAATCTGGGATTAAATTTCAAGGCCCATCAGATAAACGGGTACGAGTTAAGATTAATTTTTTTAAAAAAAAGTACGGGTATAGAACGCTATATACCCATTCGAATCCGACTCATTGAGAGGCCTATCTATGAGAGACGGAGGGAGTAATATAAAATTAATTACTCGGAATGTCATATACTCCCTCCGTCCCAAAAAGAATGTCACGGTTACTATTCTAGTCTCTCGATAACTTTTGTTTGTTTACTTGTTTTGGTTGACCATTTGATAAAATAAAATATTTTTGTCACATCTTGTTTTGTAGATTTTTTCATATACTTTTGAATGGTGTAATTTTTACTTTATATTACTCTACCAACTTGAAATTAAAGTAATTTTAAAAGAGACGATATTTTGCACGTCGTTCGAAGTGTTGCAAATAAATTGGGACGGAGGGAGTATTAGATCCATGGCATGCGTGTCATCCTTTAATAATTATTGAACTCAAAATTCTTTTGACACTCATTATTAGTACTCCTGCTTTCCTTGAGTTTTATTCATTTTGACTTTTTTGACCTTAAATTGAATAAAAATTATACTTCCTCCGTCTTACAAAATCTTTCTCTTTTCTTTTTTCATCCGTCCCAAAAATTACTTCTTTTTTTCCTATTAAAAAGTCACTTTTACCTCTATTGATTCTTAACCTACCTATCACATCAAACTTTTTCTCTATTAATCTACCCATCACATCAAAGGGCATTTTTGGAAAGTCAACACCAAAATACACTCTTCCTAAATCCTTTAAAAGTCAAATTGGGAATGAAGTTGTTTTAAGGGACGGAGGGATATAGACATGAAAATAGTTTTATTAGATTTATTATATTAAATATTTTCAAAATATTATTTTATCTAATTAATATTCAATATATATTTTATTTAATTATAGGTCTAAAGTTGAAAATAATTGACCGAAAAAAGTCAAAATTAAGCAAACACTCAGGGACAGAGATAGTATTGCATACATAATATGACACCGGAACCTTACAATATCTCGTTAGAACTTGAAAAATCAAAATTACTACTCCCTAACACCGCCCCAAAAAACCCCTCTACCCCAACCCCATAGAAAACATGAAACACTAGAGAGGGTTGCAGGTAGGAATCACTTTATTAAAATCTAACAAAGCACCATAAGACCTTCAAGTCGAACCGACTTGTTCCAAAAAAAATGTCACACGTACACTAGAGCGGGTCATGGTAGAGGACAACGAATTTTTTCGTAGAGGAGATATCACATCATATCAGATCTAACAAAACATAGTACACCAGCCTCTCAAATAATCCCCGCGTCATGACATTACGATCGACACCCGTTGTCAAAAGATCCCTGCTCTTATTATTATTATAATTATGAGATTATAATTATTTTTATTTGTATTTTTATAATAATAATAATAATTATTAACTTAATATAAAAAATTTTAAAAAATGAGTGAGATGATCTGATGATGATGAGACTAAGAGGAGGGGCGTGTGGTGGTGGTGGTATAGTTGGGGAAGGGGACGCGGCCGGACTCAATGCGGTTGACATCCCTCACGAGGATTTGGTAATGCCTCTTCACCTCCTCCTCCGTCTTCCCGCCTCCCACGGCCTTCGCCACGTTGTACCACCGGTCTGGCGTGTTCTTGTCGTACACCGCCAGTGCCTCCTCGAACGCCTTGTTCTCTCTTGCACTCCAATACGTGCCGCCGTCGCCAGAACCTCCTTGAGAGCTTGAAGTAGAAGTTCTAGTAGCAGCCATATATATCTATCTATTTATTTATTTATATTTTGATTATTATTAATTGGATATATGAATGATTGCAAATGTGAAGGCTATGGCTGCTCCTTTATATACACCTCCAGCCTCCACCTCCATATACGTACTTCCTCTATCACCTAATGAGGCATAGTATAGTATAGTATATTCCTTTCACTTTTTTTTTTAAAAAAAAATCATAAATGCATTTTTCGCACTTTTAAATATATACTATTTGCTTCCTCTTCGATCTCCACACAGAGTTTAAAAAAATGTTGAAAAATAAAAAAAGCAAGTTGTTGAAATTTGTTTAAAAAAAAGAAAAAGATTTTGGCACAAATATTTTTTAGCTTTATTCCGAAGTATATATAAAGAAGAAATTAGACATTAGTTATGTATCTACTCTTTTTGTCCCAAATTAAACAAAAAAAAATTTCATTGAGATTTATATATGCAGTAGAAAAAAGATTGAGCCACTACGAACATACTTGTTTTAAAAGGAATGATGCAAAATTTATTTATGTGACGAAATAATTGAAGTAAATATACATGATAGATTAATTTAGAACGGGATATGATCACTGGACTAGGGTATAAGATACTTGGATTGTATCATATAAATATTGAATCTAATTGATTACACAACTTAACTCAAGACACTTAGCTTAGCTTGCAAATGGACTCACCCGGATTTTATTTTGAGTGCCAACACTTAAAGGACCACGAGCAGCTGAGTATAAACTTCCACACAAATAATCAGGTTACCACAATCTGTTGGATATGCATTCCAAACGGACAACTGCCCTAAAGACTAAAGCCGCTAGGATAGAACGTCTAGAAAGAGATCTTAACAAATGAGAATGACCTTAACGCGGATATAATTTTTTTCTTTACTAGTATTAAAAATTAAATTTTAGTAAATTAAAATAGTGCCCCCAATTTTTTTTAAAAAAAAGTGCCATTGGTCCAAAAAAATTGTTGTCAAACTCATCGAAAAAATACTTAATTAGGTTATTAAACATTTAACATATAGATCAAATAGTTTTTTTTAAATAGAATTTGAGAATAAAATATTTATAATATGATATTTAAAATAAGTTATGATGTCCTTTTCATTTTAATTTTTGAATGCATGTTTGGAATAAATATTTTTGTCGTTTCACGTTGTTTTTTTTAAATTTGATCGATGCCTTCAAACCCCCGCACGGTTCTTAATTCTCTTTACAAAATGTGACCCCGGCCAAGTACTTCCTGTTCTAGATCCGCCATAGATAATAACTCTAAGATTCTAACATTAGTATCAATGGAGATTGGTTCAAGTGAAAATTAAAGTAGCTTACAAATTATTTGTTTAAAGGAGATCTCGAGTTCGAATCTCATCCAAGATTACAAAAAATGGTGGGTGAGAGACTTACATGCTCATTAATTCGAGGATAACTAAATACTACCTCCGTCCCCGAGTATTTGTCCAGTTTTGAATTTTTTCGATCAAATAAAATCACTTTTTTATAAATATCTAATATCATTTTTATTTAATTTAAAGTTAAAGTTTACTAATTTTGACTGAAAAAAGTTAAAAGTTGACAAATACTCCGGAAGAGAGGGAGTAAAAAAGAAGAAAAAAATGGTAAGGCTAGGCAAGCTGCTAGATGCAAGATGCATGGGGTGCATGAGTTGTCTCCCTATGAGCCACAAGAGGTTTAATTTTATTTGGGAAATCTTTGAGATCATATTTTTTTTGCTTTTCAAATTCTCATCAAGAATATAATCAGTCCCAAATTTCCCTAGCTAAATAAGGACCCCCTCTTAATATAAATTCTTCTCCCCAAAATAATGAGATGATTGTGTAAGATCAGCTTAACTGTTACTTATTCATCACAAAGACATTTCTACCACTGCTTCCAAAAAGAGAATATTCTTTTTACTTTCTAATACAGTAATACAAAGGGAAAAAAGATATTTGTTTCACGAACAATATAATTCATTTTTGTTGGGTCAAAATTAAATGCTCGGATTGGAGATTTGTTTTTAAAAAATGAAGATTTTAATTTGGAATGTTTTAACTTTTAATGCATATATGGATGAGGGATATATATTTTTGGTCCAAAAGATTCATGAATATATAAAATGAACTAAATTACTTACTTCTTCTGTCTAGATTTACTTATTGGTAACTTTTTTTAAAAAAAATTTAAAATCGTTAATCAAACAAAAATTTTCTTCCTATATTGATCGATACCAAATGATAAATTATCTCAGTTTTTGTGGACGAAGGGAGTAAGGGTCTGCTTGGAAAGGGAGAAAATGACTTATCATTTTCCTCATTTTTCAGGTGTTTGGTAAAAAGGTCAAAGGAAAATAGGAGAGGGTCAACTGGAAAATGAGGCCTAAATTGTGGAATTTGACGTCCGGATTTTTTTTTACGGAAGTCGTTTTCCGGCCTTCAATCTCCTTCATCGCAAAATGAAATAGCTTCGCCACCACATCGGGCCATTTGCATGGTCGTAGCTGCACCTTAACCATTGCCTAGTCGCTGCTGTTGCCGCCACACATGCAACACAGCAAACTCAATGTCAAGCAACTCATTCAACCTAAAGCTGGAGTTTGTGAATTGTGATTGTGGCTCAGAAAATATTTCTAATATTCTAACACGCCCCTCAAGTGCAGGCGTAATCTTTTCCGAACCTTGCACGTGAAATCTTAATTTTTTAAAAACTGGTGACGCTGAGTTCCGAACCCGTGACCTCTTAGTCAACAACGCTCCGATACCATGTGACCTCTTAATTTTTCCGTAACTCATTTTCTTCCATTCCAAACGCACCCTAAAGTAAAACCTAATTTTAGAAATTAGAAAGATATCACTCGAAGTAAAGGTTAATAGAAATAGCAGGCTAATAAAATGAGTTAATATGATGTATTGTGTTTGTGTATCTTTTGGGACAACAAACCAAACAGTGAGATAAAGTCTGCCGTACAATGATTATGTCATGTTTGGAGAGAGAGAACCGAAAATGAAACTGTAGATGATTGACACGTGGAGCTTGGCATTATATGTTGAGTTAGGGGGAGGGTACCCCATCCCTTTTATCTCATGCTGTCTTCTTGCAAAGATATATTGAAGCACATTTTGGTGCTTGCCCTTGGTATGCTCAAAATAAGGGACATAGTTAATTATTTATTTATTTCAATTGTTCTCAGGTAACTGCCCGACCGATTCTCAGAAGATTTCCGAGGATGAAACTCATCGTTTTCGAAATAAGGACATAGCGTTCGTGTGAGTACGTAGGTTAGGCAAGTGATCCTGAGAAAAAGGATCATAACGTTCGTGTGGATATGTTCTCAGGTGACTATCCGGCCGATTTTTAGAAGATTTTTGAGGATGAAACTCGTCTTTTTCGAAATAATGGACATAGCGTTCGTGTGGGTATGTAGCTTAGGTAGATGATCTCGAGAGAGTAATCTTAAATTTCCAAATCTGAGAATCAATTTTTGAAAGTGGCAGTATAGAGTTTAATGTAATGAGATACTTACTCTTTGTGTTCCCGATCGAACATGAAACGACTTCTCTAATATAAGTATCAGACTAAGATTGTATACATCATGATTTGCCTTCTCGTTTTTTCGTCGGGTTGGAGTACAGGAGCGCCCGGGATGAGCGTTCCAGCATAAGTTAAGAAACATAGTTTAGTTGGTCAATACAGTACACGAAAAGATATACAATGTCAAAATCCGATCATGGCCAACACTAATGAATTGAAGGGCAATCATACATTCGTGCATATCAAGGGCAAATCATACTTCTTATTAATCAATCGTAACTGCGAAGTAGGATTTTTCATCGCACGTGAAATTGGTACGTTCACCGTTCATGCCACGCATGGTCAGCCTTCTTCGAGGACGTTGTCAGAAATTGAACTCGGAAATCATCGTTTTGAGACGGTTTCATTGTCATCTGCTAAGTTAGGGCCGGCCCCGGGAGCAAAAGGCACGTAGGATAGTGTGTGTAGTGCAGTAGTAGTAATAGTGGACAGAGGAAATCTTCAAATATTCGTTGTGAAGATTGATTCTGTACAAAATGTACTCCACTTCTATCCCTTTACCAGCGGCCATGGCTCCTCACATATATTATATTCTCCCTCCATTATTATTGCTCTTTTCGTCCCTAAAAAATTTACACTTCGTATAAATTGAAATACAATTTCAAGTTTTTTTTTTAATTTTTTTATTTAAAGATTCCTACAAAAATAAAAAACAAAATTAATTTGTTTAAAAATAATATCAAACTACAAATATGGAGTGGTTTTTAGAATTGTAAAGAGTGTAAATCTTTTGGGGGACGAGAGAGTATTATTATTACTATAGGAAGGCTGGAGATAATACAAAGACGAGTAGGGTTTAAATTATCATCAAATCTTCAGAATATCTACTCCAACTATATGTACATGCACACTTCATTTTGTGCACCTACACTTGTATTCTAGCCATTGGGAGCATATATTAATAACGACTCTACTCTAATAGGAGTATTATCCAAACATTCGTATTTAGTTAGGTCTTATTGATGACATCACTGTTAGATTTTGAGATCAGTGTTAGAGGTCAGCGTTAGTGTTTTGAAAAAAATTATTCGAGAGTAGCTTTTAGCAGTTTTTCGTTAGCGATTTCAGAATTAACATTTATCATTTAAAACATAATGAAAGTATTCCATATTAAATTTCCCAAGAAAATAATATAAATACTGGAATGCCATCTCGCTTTAATTTAAAACTTACCACATAGGCTTGACACATGTCATCTCAATGGCTTGATATATGTCATGTCAACTCTTTAGGCCCCATTTGACATCAGCGTTAGAGGTTGGCGTTTTAAAAATGTTATCCGACGGGAGCCTTTAGCGCTAGCATTTTCAGAATGAATCTACATTATTAAAATTTTATTCAGAACGCTAACACTAATCGAAAATGATGTTTCTAAACAAAGCCTTAGAGATTGGAGTATAGAATTTATATATAAAGGATACAAGATATTTGTGCTTTTGTTTCAATGTTTAATTTTTTGATATGATTTTAATAGGTTATGGTACTGTACTATTCTGTTTGTAAGTGGAATGATACCGAATGCTTA